GGGAAGAGACCAGGAGGGGGGCTTCTCCTGGGAGACTCGGGGCGTCGAAATTCCTCGTTCCTCATCCTCCGGCCCCCGCACCCCTCCTCCCCGCCACGTACCCTCTCCCCTCCCCAGCCATCTGTTCCGCTCCGCAGCGCCGCGACAAACACGGCTCCCGCTCGCTTCCGCCCCTGCCCAGCCCCCTCCCCAAGCTCCTCGCCCCGGGGGTGGGGAAAGCGGGGACACCCCTCCCGGAGCCCGAGAGTTGTGCCGGCTTCTCCACCTGACTCCAAGCCCCCCAAGGCAGGAGCGGGCGTCGAGTGTCCCTGTCCCCATGAGTGGCGGAGGGTCGGAATAAAGCTTGAAGGGGCAGGGTGCGGTTGGGGCCAGTGTGGGGCCCTCTCAGAGGAGGGCCGAGCCAGCCCAGGGTGGGGGTCCAGAGAGTGAGACCCACGAAGGGCCGAGGGTGGGCGGAGGGTGTGGGCTCCGGGCCACACCGGCCCGCCCTCCCCCACCGTCGGGCCCCGGCCCTGGCCCCATCCCAGGCGCAGCCCCGCAGCGCCGCCTGCCGGGCACCGCTAGTCCGGGAGCGCACGCTCTCCTCCGCCCGCGGTCACCCCAACTCTGGTGGGGTCCCACTTCGGTCGCTCGCGGTCAGCTCCACCAGACTACTGAGAAAGTCAAGGCTCAGGGCTGAGAGCGCAGGGAAACCCGGACAGCCCCCTGGAACCTGCCCGGCCCGTGGGTGGCTGCTGTCCAATTCTGATCTGGGGGGAGGGGGGGGGAGCGCTGGGCTCTGGGCAAACAGGGGTCTCCAGATATCTGCAGGAAGGGTTTCATTAACTTCTAAAGAGAATTTAAGACAAAGGGGGGGTGCTCATCTGCTACTGTCTTCCACTGCTAATATTTGCAGTTTCCCCAGAAGCTTTTGGGGGATGGAAGGGGGGTAAATAGGGCCTTTGAGATCACTCCAGCTCTGATAGCAGCTGAAAGTGGGCTGAGAAGCTTGGGACCACCCCTCCGTGCTTGCCCGAATGCCCTGTGCTCCTAGTTCAGCTCAACAGCTGCTGTGTGCTATTGTTTTGTGCCTTAACCTTCCTGGGCGCTCTTCAGCCTGCGGATCTGCATGAGGATGTTGCCCTCTTGGGTGGGCTGGGATGAATGGAGATCCTGCAGGGGAGGCAAGTGCTCAGGCCAGGTGAGTGGCCCACCCTGCCCCAGCCCTCTGCTGTGACTGCTCAGCCTTTGGACCTCTTCCAGCCAGACAGGTATAGGAGCAGGATCGTTGAGTCCACGTTCCCTGGCTGTCCCTCCTCAAAAATGGTGGCTCCCCTTAATGCACAGCATTTTAAAGCCTCGATTTCATGCTGAAGACCAATGTAATTATAGTACAAACTGAATCTTAAAATTTGCATGGAAGCTTTAAGATAAAAGTGTTCCTTCCTGTGGGTCCCCTTGATAGCCCAGAAGGGACATTTTCTCTCAGCAAGCCTTGTAAAGTAGCTGGCCCTGACACCCGGGATGGGAAGCGGGGTCCCCGTGGACCCCAAGTCCTGCAAGTGGAGGCAGCAGCAGAGGACAGGGCAGGGCTGAGAACAGGGAGGCCAGGCAGACAATCAGAGTGGACAGGCTGGCACTTGAGGTGTCCTACTTAATGCCCAGCTGAGCCAGGGTGAGGAAGAGGGATGGTGTGTGGGACGACACTCCCCCCCAAGATACGGCACACACCAGCCAGTCTCTCACTTCCCTTTTTATTTTCTCTAAGACCTGCAAGAAGCAGCACCAGGAGGGAACCCGCCCTCCAGCCCCTAGGAGGAGCTCACCCTCCCCCCACACACACCCCGTCCAGGCCACGCCTGCACCTGCAGCCCCTTCCTCCTGAGGGGAAGGCTGTTGCACACACATGCACCCACACACGCACACGCACTCTGGGCATTGCATAGCTGGAACCTCGGGGTGACCTGTTTGCTGACCCCAAAAGCCCCCCAGTAGCACCAAGGGGCAGGTCCCCCTAGGAGAAAGGCCCAGAGAAAGGACAGCCTGGCACTTGGTCTCCTGATCCTGTTAGCTCAGGGCTGACTTCAGTCAATGGAGCATTGCTTTGGGGGAATTTTTTTTAGTTTTTTTTCCCTTTTAGCAAGTCCCTACAAAAATAGAACTTCTCTTGGTATTTATAAATCCACGGGCCCTGGCTCTGTGCGTCTGTTACAGGTAGAAAAGCCGGGTGCGGCGCCCCCTCTGGTAGCACAGGCCTCAGCGGCCTGGCACGCACATCCCTCGGCCTCAGAGGCCTACGCGGTCACCTCAGAGCTGCTGAGTGCCTTCAGCGGGCCCTCCCAGTTGGTGGAATACTCCCGCTGGAGCCGGGCTCGGTAGTAGAAGAGGTAGGAAGGCAGCAGGAATCCCAGGAGTGAAAAGAGCAGGAGGCCGAAATTCACCTTGAGGGCAAGGAGAGACCCAGTCAGGGCCACTGGACCCTTACCGCCCTCGGGAGCCTCCCTGACCTCCAGGAGCGGAAGGCGGCCATTTTTGTTCCAGGGCCTGGCCCAGAACGACAGTGAGCCCCTGTGGGATCTAACAGCTGCTCCTGCCTCAGCAGCTTTGGAAAGCCACAGGGCCTGGCCGGAACCCCGCTGACACAGGACCCCCTCTGGGTAGAAACAGGGGAGGAGATCACTCTGAGGGAGTCTGGGCCAGTCAGCTGCTGAAACAGGGGCTTCTTGAGCCTCCCCTCAGGGCAGTGAGAAGAGCCTGCCACCTTGGGAGCCCCGGACGGTGGTCAGAGGGGTTCTGTGGCCTCCTCGGGGCTGCCGTGCAAGCGAAATACACAGCACAGAGCCCAGAGTGAGCAAAGCCCAAAGTGAGCGGTCAGCCCAGTGGTCACTCACACTGCTGGCGGGAGGAGGGCTCGGGGGCCCCCAGGGCACATGGACAGTCAGCTCGAGGACACAGACACCAGTCCAGGGCAAGGAAGAGCCTTTCTAATAAAACCAGTGGCAGCCACACCCATCACAGGGGGTCTGAGCTGAGCGGGCTGTGAGGAAGCCTTTTCGGGGTGCTGGAGAGAGGCCCCTGCCCGGGGCAGAGCCAGATGGCTCAGGACCAGCTCGCATCACCGGGCCCCTGGGCACCGAGGCCTGGCCTGGGGATCTGCATTTGTAACTCTGAGGGGTTCAGGTGGGCAGCCAGCTGGGGAGCCCCCAGATGAGCCCTCCGAGGCACCTCTGGGCGGAGAGGAGGGAACGAGCGGTTTACCAGGGACTCTCCCCTGCCCCCCCCCCCGACTGCACTCAGTGGGAGGGGCCCGCCCCCCTAATGCTCACCCAGAAGTGTTCTCCTTTCAAGGGCCCCACCATGGTGGTGAAGAGCGGCTGGGACAGCAGGGCAAACAGGGCACTGATGAGGGACTGCAGACCTGTCATCGTCCCGAAGTGGCTGGACGGGAAGCTGTTGACAGGAGAGACCCTGCATTGGGGGGGGTGGCGCCCTCCGACCCAGCACCCCCGCTGGCCTCTCCCCGGCACTGTTCTGTGCTACCCAGACAGGGTAGACCAGAAAACTCAAGCTCTTCGGTCCCACGCCAGGGCTTCAGGACCACAGAGCTGGCTTCAGACATTGACTGCTGTGTGACAAAGCAAGTAACTCAGCCTCTCTGGGCCCCTCTTGCTCCACTACCACAGGACCCGCCAGTCTCAGGCCACTTATTCTTTTTAGGTCTCGGTAGTTACTGAGTGCCTCCTACGTGCCAGGCACTCTTCCGGGCGACCAGAGACACGACACACCCAGCGGGCAGAGATGCCTGCCCCCGGGAGGCAGAGGTCCCAAGGGGACTGCAGTTGTAGACAGGGTGGCCGGGGAAGCCCTCACGGAGCAGAGGACTGCTGGGGAGGCCTGAGAAAGGCAAGGCAGTGGCAAGCCTTGGGCTGTGTGGGAGAATATTCTAGCAAGGGGGGAAATGCAAAACCCCCCTGGAAAACTGGGTTGGGGTTTCTGACCATAGTGGACAAAGCCCGGGGAGCTGGAGGGAAGAAGAAGGCAGGGGCTCCAGGGGCAAGCTCTTGTAGGGTCTCTGAAGCCATGATAAAGCCTCTGGCTTTCTCCTTGAGGGAGCCCAGACGGGAAGCTATGGAGTGACGTGGAGAGACTTATGTTCTAACAGGTGTCTCCCGTTTCTGTGTTAAAAATAGCCGGAGGCAGGACAAGGGCAGCCTGCAGGGACCAGCCGGGACGGTGGCAGGCTCGAAACCCATGGCAGAGCAGCACGGGTGGTGGGTGAGGCCGAGGAGAAGGGGTCCGGCCTGCGGCGTGAGGTCTGTGAGGCTGACAGGATCGCGGAGGGACCGTCCGGTGGACAGAATGTGGACGGCGTGCGTGAGAGACCAGCCTGACCCCAGGGCCCAGCAATCGAGGACACAGAGCTGCCCTCTGCTCAGACAGCTGCAGTGAGGCTGCAGTCAGGGGTGCTGTGCCCTAAGGGTACCCCTTTGTCACCACTCTTGTCCATCCCACCTGGGAGCATCACTCCCCAGCTCCCCAGCGCCTGACTGACGTGGAAAGCAGAGAGATGGAGGAACGGAGCTCCCGGGCTGTTCCAGAGGCAGATGCAGGACTCAGGGGTCATCAAGGGGCCTTTCAAGGGGGAACGGAGCTCCCGGGCTGTTCCA